TAACGTCGGAGAAGTTGCCTGCACATCAGGCTCGCCATGCTCACTACCGCCCTCTGTTTGCAGTGACTGCCATTACAGCAAACGCACAGTCGGGTATGATGAGTGCTATATTATCAACGCTGAAAGTAGCTATAAATGTGTACTTCCATGGTGAAAAGTTTTCCAAATGCGATCTTTGAGATTTTGAAAACTTTGCTCACATTGGTACTAAATTTTGTAGATAACAGGTGTACCATTTAAAACGTAGCCCATCAACAAATACGCACTAAGGTACAGTCCGCAGACCAGGAGAAAATCCCTGCTAGGAATTCGATATACGCGCATGCGCAAGATTTCGCGGTGAGTGACGACCCATCCTAAAAGCATTCGCTCCACAACCACTGAACGAACAATAGACGACAGGCTTTAATGTGTTCTGATGTGTACAGCTTTAAGATTACCTCACAGCGGGACACCAGCAGGGTTTTTCTCGTGATCTGTGGACAGTACAAAGATGTACGTATTTACCAGGAACTAAGGAAAACCATGAAAATCCTCAAGATAAACGATATAAGGTCTAACCCTGAAAACGCAATGCATATCGGATTTGCAGTACCTCAGACAATTTAGTTCAATGGTAGGGCGTTAATTGTTCAAAAGTATTAGCCAAATCTCGATCCAGGGGTCGAGAAAATCCGGAAATCGAATATCGTATTTCATCTTACGTGAGGCACAATCTCAAGTCACAACATGGCAAGATCGAAAAACAAAGGTTACGTAATTAAATTCGCGATAAATCGTGTTTCAATGTGTTAGCCAGGCCAACACGGTTAACACGAATTACGCAAAATGTCTGAAGTGCTTTCACTTTACGTGGCAGAATAGAGTTCAAAACGGTTGACACACCATTTATATGTGCTTAACCACGAAACTCCGGAGCTATTAAAAACTGGAAATCACTTCTATGTTCTGAGTACTTAATACATATTCTGGCACTGAGTTATAATGTATAATTAGTCACTAAATTAGACTTTAGTGTCTTGTGATAAAAGGGTTTAAAACGAGTAGGCCAACTAAGCACTTGCTAGAATACACGAAAATTTGTCTTGAAATAATGAGAAATTGCAATAAAGTTAATGTTCCTGAACAATTGTTCTATTTGCTAAGAAACAGTTTCAATCCTTACAAAAGAAAGTAGTTAAGACATCGAACTACATGGTTGCTGCCTTAGTAACATAAAAACGGATCATTAACGCTGCAGTGCTGAATGATCTTTTTGAGAACCTAATATTTGCTGTCAAGAAATTGTCTTCCTTTTATTGAACCTAAATGTAGTTACTTACACATTTATATCTGACCACCAATAGATTATATCCTTAGCCATATGAATCCACTCAACATCCTTGTATCCTTTTCCCCTCAAGATACATTTTAATATTATCACCCCATGTACGCCCACGTCACCAAAGCTAAGTTTTCGACTAAAATGTTACATAAATTTGCATATATACTTTTCATATTTCACGTCCCAGATAGCTCTTCCTTCTTGATATAATCACCGGAATAATATTAGGTAAAGAGATTGATTGATCGATAATTGGGATTGTAACTCTCTCTATTCATGTCTCAGAAAAATTCCATCTAAACGTAACAGTAGATATCCCGTTCTGCTAGCGATGTAAGACATTCTGTTGTATCAAATCTAAAACTTCTTGACGATGGTGAAGAGTCAATTGAATAAAAATTTACTTGGATATTATCCATCGTCTAATAAAAAAATATAAAAAACGTAAAACGACGTTTCGGAGATGGGGCTCTATCTCAACTCCAACTGAGTAGGAACCTGAAGACGGAGATAGAGCCCCATCTCCGAAACGTCGTTTTACGTTTTTTACGTTTTATTACTAGACGATGGATAATATCCAAGTAAATTTTTATTCAATTGACTCTTCACCATCGTCAAGAAGTTTTAGATTTCTGTTGTGCTCATCCCAACATTTTCCTTGTGGCGTTCGTCGTGCGATGATTTCCATCGACTTCTTGGCGATGCTGTACGAGGACATGAAAAATAATGAGGAATGCAATTTGGAATACTGCCACATTCAACTAAGTGTTGGTCTGTTAGGTGATTATCGTTCATTTTTCGCAACGGCTGTGTGAAATGGCAATCGAGTGCGAATGTGGAGAGGAAATGGCGACGGAAGAAGTGTCCTGCGATCCAATAAAAATAGCGCGGCTCTCAGTGTCTCAGTGTCTCGTTGACACGACGTACGCATAATTCTCTCCCGTGTAAACAACGTGGCTAATGAATTATCAGACAAGAACAAGACGTTAGAAGCTGCCAAAACCGTGAATGAACTAACAGTGGCGTGCTTGGCTATTCTTGCTTGCTTATTTTTTCAGAATGTTGCTGTTTATTTCTGCAGTTTAACACCTCAAAACTTTAAAATTCTCAATGGTAACTATATGTCCCACTTGCTTCATTTTGTATTCATGGGTTTCGTACGATCCTCACTGTTAAAAGCGATTATTTCCTGAAACGGCATTTCCGACTTGATCTCTGTAATGGAGAAATTTGGTGTTTTCTTTGAGGTACGGAACGAATTCTTAAATATTATTTTGACGAGTTTCGGTTTCAACGGATTAAAGCATAGTGTGGTAACTACGTCTATCACCCGCTGTAACGAGCCTAGTGGGGTAACTACGTCTATCACCCGCTGTAACAATAAATAATTCTGCGCTTTGTCAACAACGTCTATTTTATCGACTTCACATGATTCTTAGAGTAAACAGTGATTATTTCCTTGAACAGAATTAACCTGATATTTGTAATGGATGTGGATTGTGTTTTCTTCGATATAAGGACTGAATATTTAATATTAAGTAAAGCTTCAGCTTAGAAGGGTTAGTTAAAATCTTTACGACAAGCATATTTAAATTTATTTTCTACATTGCATTTCTTCTTAGTGATTTCTTCCTTCTTTATTTTAAAATCCTTGATGAATCTTCAATTTTTTAATAATAATTCTTTTGTTTCTCACATTTTTGTTATACCTGCTGCTTGTAATCACTCAGGAAATTCAAACTTGTTTTGTAATTAATAGGTTTAGTTGATATTTCTTTTCAACAAAAACATTCTATAGAATCAAGGGGTACAAGTAGAAGGTTCTGTCAAATAGACCAGACATAATTAAAAACAAGAACGATAAATTTTCCTTACTGATAGATGTAGCAATAAAATCGACAGGAATGTAACACGGATGGAAACCTAAAATAAATTAAAATACACTAATCTAAGTATAGAAATTCAGCGAATATGAAATATAAAATGCTTTTTCGAAACGGTAATCGTTGGAGCCACGGGCATTTTAACTAAAAGACCAAAGAATTTGATAGATTTTCTATAAAAAAAACCCAGACATGCTAGGAACATCACACATTTTAAATAAAGTTCAAAACATCAGGAAAAGGAACGACCCATGGGAAGATAAACAATAATAATAACGGGGCGAACACGACATCAGGGAACTTAAGAAAACTGCCATTTTAGGATCTTCATATATCATTCGAAAGACGGTGTCGTAAAATATATAGTCGTCCCTCACAATAAAACTATATAATATATGTAACACGTATTAAAAACAAAATGTATTTCAGAAATAGCTGCTGCACTATGTACCTCAGGGGCAAAGGTTTGTCTCGGGTACACAGAAGTAAATACCCTATAAAATGGTGAATAGATGGAATAATAATAATAATAATAATAATAACAATATATTTTTCCCCTAATTCCATCACAACATTGTAACATCATACGAGATTACTGAAAATCAGAAACAAACAAACAAACAAACGTTATGATCACGTTACTTAAGTCTAAGTCGGTTAAGTGAACGTACTTCTTCTTTCAAACTTAGTAAACAATTCCTCGCGTCTTAAAATCTGCTGAAGACTTAAGCAGCAAAGTGTTCACGAAGGATCATTTAATGCTTCTGTGTTTGTTTTAGGATGAAAGAAAAACACTTTTAACAAAATATTTTGCAGTAGAGTTTTGCCATCGCAACGCTTGAGAGAATACTCGATCAGTACGCGTTGTGTAATTTGGATACTTTGTGCCACTTACGAATAACTGAGAGGCAACTGGCTGAAAAGGAATTTCTAAATACATTATTTAAATTACGTGGGGAAAAGTTTAAAACCACGGCATCTACTTTAGTTCAATAAGCTTTTGGAAATATAAGCAATGTCTTTGTTTATAAACTTCTACCACAAGCCCCAAGAAGAGTGAACTATCGAAATGGAAACTTTCACAGTTAACTAATTTACACATCGTACAGAGTTATTACAAATTAACTACACATTTTAAAAAAAAATCTGTTTAAGGAAATAATCCCTGCAAGATTTGAGGTTTTCACAGCGGTGAGTTAGAAGATTTCTGTCACGGAGGCAGTATGACCTCTGAAACGTTGGTAAACATCGACCAGACTACACAGCGCAACAACCCAGAAGACAGAAATCTTCATACTCATCGCCCTGATGACGGAGGCAGTATGACCTCTGAAACGTTGGTTAACATCGACCAGACTACACAGCGCAACAACCCAGAAGACAGAAATCTTCATACTAAGAATCGCCCTGATGACGGAGGCAGTGTGACCTCCGAAACGTTGGTTAACATCGACCAGACTACACAGCGCAACCCAGAAGACAGAAATCTTCGAAATAATCCCTGATAATACGGCGAGAATCATACGAAACTCATAAATACAAAATAAAGAGTTGTTGATTGTTAATGCAGGACATTTAGTTACAAAAGGGATTTTAACTGGTTAAAAAGGTACCGAGTATGACCCCAACCGCCGTCACTAATATTCAGAAGGAAAATGCTAAAAACAATCAGTATGATAGCATACTGCAAAACCAAAGCCATATCGAATAAGCTTCATACCAAGGACGAAGTCCAACACGATATTTGCACGATGTTGTGAAAACTTTAAGACATTCATTAAGTATCACTGTACCTGCAGACAGATCCAGTAGAATCACAGCACTGATCAGATGCAGGAGAAGCAAACAGTGAAACCAAGTCCTCATCTTGTGACACTGTCGTCGGCTTCCTCCCTCCACTGCAATGAGTGCCCGATTTTAAAAATAATTCCCCTCTTAGCAACTATATCTCCAGCTTACTTCACTTAACACAGCGAAAATACGTCAAAACGTCTATTCGAGGGTTAAAACTTAAACTTAATTATAACTTTTACTGACGAGATGTTACTATGTGTTAATTAATTATCATATTATAAGATTTTTAATCTGATAATTTTTTATATAAATTAAATTATTCATAAGGGAAGTACAACAGATGTAAGAGATTAATATATTTAGTTAATATTCGTGAGCTTAGCGATTATCAGTTTCAAAATAATGACTACTCTGTAAATTTAATTTCACTCACAACAACAATAATACGAACATTTTGAAAGTTTAGTGGAATCGTGTACCATCTAAAAGTGCCAGGTTCGACTTTCGACAGAGACACCGGAAATCCTGGATGCAAGTAATTGCAGTTTTCCTTAGTATCTCCCAAGGAAATTCGGATGAAGAAGGCATTGCGAAAGAGGTGAACACATCTAATTCCAAATATTTCCCCGCTTATCTTTCATGACCATCTTTTCATAACATTCGAAATTTTATAAATAAACTGAGTTCGACACAGCATCGTTAAATGCAAAATAATCAAACAGAACTTCGAAGCTCCAAATTAAATATCCCCTTCACCTAATTTACGTAATATCAGTTGCATTATTTACACTGGGGTGAATGTAACAAGTAAACACAGGGTGGCGTCATATACCTACTAATTATAGTTATATTGAACATTGTCAACTGATTAGGATATAGGCCCATTTAATACACACGACGTTTTAGGAGTCAATTCTACTCCAGTATTCTGTCAACATAGTAGCAGCGAATCACGAGAATACGGTGGTAGAATCAGGTTCAGAAAAGTCTTGTATATAAAATACATATCATGCAATGATGCCAACTTTGATGTTTGCATTAAACAGGTAAAATGACTCTAAATACTTCTTGTTTTTAAGTTGAGGTGAACTGACACGTAATACATTTGATATTTGTGAACAGGTATTTTGCTGAGTGACCTCACTCACGGACATGAATGTGGGTTGAACATCAACATCCTTTGCATATATGTGGCTGCACCGGTTCTGTACTGAACGAGGTTAAGAACTGGAGAAGAATTAGAACTGCAAGAATTGAGGTTATTATTGAAGATAACTATGAAAATCCCAGTGAGGTTAGGGTCCTCAGGTCGAGGTTTAAACCTGGGACCTCTCGGAAACGAATCACAAGTGTTAACCACTCGACTGCCACGTTCGATGTTAGTACTTTAAAAAAGATCGATCCCTTTTTTTGACTCACATTTGATGCTATAATTAGGTTATGTAAACGAGGACGCGTAGTTAAATAGGTTAAGAAACATTCAAAAACAAAAACAATACATTTTTGTCACTGTACCTTACAAATAACTCACGGTAGAATATGTTTAACTACGTAAATACAAGAATACTGTCTTACCTAAATGGATAACACAATTTCTTGATGATAATAAAGCAAAATTTCCACTGTCAGACAACACAAATTACTGCTTCTTACGAAATTAATCGCATGTTCTGCACACGCTAATGTCGATCAGGCCCCAACAGGTTGTGACTCTCGTTTGTCTCTCGACTTACATCGACGCCTTCTGTATCGATACTGATGTCCTGCTCCTTGTCAGGTCACCTGTTTTGTATAATTCAGACATCTTCGACTATAATACTAACAAATATTGCTGACGCCCCTGTCAAACGATATTGGTCGTACTGTACCCCTACAAACGATAATTCGTTTTTCAGAGTATACAATCACAAGCTCGATAAAATGCAATTATTCTTTCTTAATGATACAGACCTATTTGACGACGCCTGATAATTCAGATCAATAGTCATGGAATTTGCCTGACAATAATAAGACACATCACGAAAACGTCATTACAGATTATTTCCTGACCGAAATTCAAACAAGGGAACTTCTATATACCTCTCTTCTCTGTTTTGCCCTAGTTTATTTATTTAACAACGTTTTATCGATTGAATAGGTTATGACGTCTACTGGTGAGGTGGGATGGAAACGAGAGGATGCTGGCATAACATATTTTAAAATGTTATTTAGGGATTTTTAAAGGAAATACTGAGGAAAATTAAAAAAAAATTCAGTCATTTTCCAATACTAACACGTTGTATAATAAATTATTTTAAAAAATTTCTTATTTAATTCGGTCAATCGGTAATTTCCTTTTTTACAACCTTCAGAATTATTATGTTTACTTTGTGTATGTGCTGTCTTGTTTTTTGTCAGTTGTATTTATTTTATTTTTAGGCTGACTATAGCTACTGAGTTAGCACATTAATATAAAGAATTTATTATTGTTATTTATTCTTTAAGGATGGAAGGATCCTGTTCATAATGTCACCAACCTCCTGTACAGGAGACGGCGTGATAAAGAAGAATATTCATTCTTTTCATATCACCGACTTTTTCGTTTCTAAATACTTGTTTTGAACCAATGGTGAACACATCCTTCAGGCTTGCATTTTCCTTATTGTGTGTGATGCCTGCCTCTCTCCCTCTCTCTCTCTCTCTCTCTCTCTAAGATATAGCGTCAAATGGCAGGGTGATTAAAAATTATAATGGATGTAAAATGAACACATCTTGATCCAGTTGGTATTAGCCTTGAGGAATTAGAGATGTAAACACGAAATCCCAGTGTGGATAATCGATGTTCGGACCGAGACATGAAACCAGGAACTCTCGTATCTGAAAGACTGCAAACCACTCGGCCGCCATGTTGTGTGTACTTACATCACCACGTGTTACGATGTGCGATCGGAAAGTTTCAAGACTGTGTCAATAGAGGGCGAACCGGATGTAGTACGAGATTCTGCCTTTAGGGGGTGCGGCCTACATTCATAGTGAATCAGTGTGCCAGCCGGCATCATCGAATTAGCATTTGTTTCTTAGTTACGGGCGTTTTGGTAGTGCATTACACCGACCCTCCTGCGATTTCGGAATGGCGGATTTTCATGAACAAAGAGTGTGCATCAAATTTTGCCAAAGACTCGCCAAAACGGCTAAGGAAACCTATGAAATGCTAAAGCAAACATTTGGGGAGTCCGCAAACTTTTGTGTGGCATTCACGTTTTAAAAATGGCCGAACCTCTGGCG